ATGAGTGAGACCTGGCAGCCGTGCAGCCCTGGCTGGAAACATTCCTTTGGCAGCTCCAGCCCTCCACAAATTACCAGCTCTGTGGAAAGCAGCAAGTAAGCAGGAATTCTGAGGTAAGAGAGAGTGTGTTTTCTCTCATAGCATTTCTGGAGGTATTGGAACTGCTGGAAGGAAAAGCAGAAGGCAGAGGTGGGTGGCAGGAGTTGTACAAGCCCCAAAAGCTTCTCCTGCGTTGAAGGAATCTCTTATTTAAATGTGCAGCAGAAAAAGGAAAATAGAGGGGTTTTTCAACAGGTTTCTTTATCATTCTAGTTCTGCTGCTTCCTCAGATTATCAGTTCTCGTTTGATAGTGACCTGAGTGTGTTCAGCACTGCTAATAACAGTCCAATAAGTGTTTACTTCAGGCTTCCCCGTTCCCATCGAAGAAATACAGAATAAGCTTCTAATAAAGCACTCATTTATTACAGCAGTAAGAGATAATTTAGTATTCAAGAATTCAAAGCACGATATTCACAAATATACATTTGCTCCAGAGATAGAAACTCTCTTCAGCCTGAACTGTACAAACTCTAGTTCTAAATCCTTGGCATTTCTTTTACAACTTCACCTTTTGCTCCTGTTTCTTAACAGTCTGTCGATGGTGGGGGGGGAAATTAAATTTATAAAGGAGATTGTTGAATTTCTTGAGCTGTTTGGGGGAAAGTGGAATGTTTTCTTTCAGCATTTAGCTCTGGTGTGTTTGTGTGTCTCCTAGTGTCTTTGCACTGACATCTGCCCTAGTGCAGGAGGTTTTTTTACACTGTTGTCTGAATTTTATGCTGTACACACAACCCAATGCCAAGGAAATCTGTGACACTACCTGTCCTGTAATCCAAAGCTATCCCCGGAGTGAGCAGCCTGTCTTCCCCACACATGTGTCACGAGATGGCACTGTAGGATAGAGCTCTCCACGTCCTCGTGTTCAAATCTGGTGGACAGCAAATCCACTGCAGGTGAGGCAGAAAAAAACCCCATTGGGGTCACTCATGCACAGGTGAGATGGACACCCAGCAAATCAGAGCAACCTTGTCTTAGAGCCAAGAAAACTTTATCTGCTGAGGGTTCAGGGCTTTGCTGCCTTCAGTGCTTCACATGGAAGTTATTGCAGAAGCTCGATGTGCTTTGAAGGAAACAGGCTTCATGGTTTTTTGGAGAAATGAGGTCTGGCTCAGAGCAGAGCGAGTGTCATTTGGCTTTGTGCTGACTAACAAATGGAAGCTCCAGCAATGGAAGCAGAATGATCCAGAATACATGAGCTGTGCCCATGTACCCTGTCCTGTGACACTCCAAAAGTGAGTTACACTCAAAAAATACTGTGAAATAAAAATGACAAAGATCAGGGCTTGTTGCAGCTGCCAGAAAACAACCATTTGGGAACAATTTCTGTCCAATACCCAACATTTCAGTTGACTCCTTCCTGGCTACATCTTTCTAGCCAGGCCATCTGTGTTTCCTGTCCTTTTCACATTGTCCTTCGTGCTGAGCAGGGCATGTTCCAGAGAGAGAGAGAGACAGAGCCATTCTGGCCCATAACATTCAAGCTTTTAATTACAAATGAAAGTATATTCTACTTTTGTTTGTAGAATTCTGATCGTTTGAGGTGATGTTTTACTAACTTCCTAAAACCTTGAGCTTTTTAGGCATATTTCTAGTGGAAAAAAAACACATCAGTGCTCATTTCCACACCTTCCTTTGATACAAAGCAACAAGAAGGCTTTTGCTCCTTCTAAGAAGGATATTCCCTTAAAATTATTCCCTTAACCAAGTCATTCTTGCAAAGGCCATAAGAAGTCTACATCTTTCTAGCCAGGCCATCTGTGTTTCCTGTCCTTTTCACATTGTCCTTCGTGCCGAGCAGGGCATGTTCCAGAGAGAGAGAGAGACAGAGCCATTTGCCTTGCTTCTTATCACTGAAATGGGTTTGTTAAGGACTAAAAACCAAATCCTGGGTTAGCTGAAAGTCTGCCAGGCAGCTCACAGCAGATGCCTTTTCTCCAGCCTGCGTGGTAAATACAAATAGGGTGTTGTTCTCCCCGCTTTGTTCAAAAAAAGGGATCTCAATCCTCTCTCCCTTTCCATTCCTATTATCTGGTACCTTTAGGGTTTTTTTTCTATAGGTATGTCCCTGGGTTGAGGTCCTCTGCTTTCTCAGGAGATCCCACACTCTCCAGACAAGGCTCAGACGTGTCACTGACTTTAAACTTGGAGACAATCCTGGCGGTTTCTTGCGTCATCTCAAAATGTTTGAGCTGTTGTCTCCCTCCCGAGCGCTGCTTCAGTGTGTTCGTGTCTGTTGAGCTGTTCCTGCTCCTCGTGCTCTCCTCCAGGATGTTCGTGGTCGTGGAGCTGCTGTCAGTGGGGTTGTCTTCTGCACCAGACTCTGCTGCTTCATTAGCTAACGTGGTGGCAGTCCTCAAGGGCAGATTGGAAGATTTGGGAATGACTGGCTTCGTTTTCACCTGTGTTCTAATATATTTGACAGGTTGGCGACTGAAATGACATCTGGGTTGGGTCCCTACGATCGTGTCTGAATCACTGTCTGTCTTTTCTTGCACAGAGTCATCCAGGTCCTCCAGCTCAGAGCCAATACTTGTATTCATCTCTGAACAAAGAAAAAATCAGACAGTTATCTTAGAACAGTGACAAACAATTTTGGCTGAGGACCTCTTGTTAGAGAGGATCTGGAAATCCTTCCTGTGTTAACAGGCTAAAACATCTCCCTCTACCAGCTTCGTTAATCAGAAGCAATCACAAGGTAAAGCATTTGAAAGAGGTATAAAATATCAATCAGGTTTATATTCTTAAAGCATTAAAGCCAGGAGAGCTGACCCAGGTGACTGTGGGCTCGAGAGCTGAGGCAGCAGCAGGGAAAAGCCCTTTTTGAGAAGAGCAGAAGATGGGATTTCACGCAAGTGGCTGCTCTGCAAAAAGGTTATTTACACAAAAACTGAGCAGCGAAGCTGAAGGAGACCCAGCTGTACTTTCTCTGCTGTGTAATAGAGGCAGATAGGTGGGAAGTGTGAAAAACAGCAAATATGGTACAAGAAAACCTCAATGTCTCTTCATTTACCTAAAGAGTCTGTGCTTAACGGACTGTGGGCTCCCTCCAGAGTCAGCTCATTGATGGCTTCCCTGGAAAACGCGTTATCAGAGAGACAGTCGGCGTTTAAACCCTGCTTGGAGGAGAAATTCTGTTGGAAAAAGCCAGGAGTGTTTAAACAGGACTCTTTATTTGAGATGAAGATCCCAGCAACTCTTCCCCCAACTGGTGTTAAGAGCCAAGTGAATGGAGGCAAGTGCTTGAGCTGAGAATGCTTTGGTTTTTCTTAGCTAACACTTGGGGGGAACAAGGAGGGTGTTTGCAGAGGATCACAGGGCAGGGCCATGAGAGAAAATGATGGTTCAAGACCTGCCAACTCCAACATCTGCCACAAAACTTCCCCTAGAAAGTGACTGCTGCTTTTTGTGGAGCAGCAGCAGCAACTCTGTGGGAGCCAAGTAGCTAATTTCAGGGGAAATGTCAGAAACCGAGTCATTAACTGGAGCACAGTTGTTATTATCAGATGAAAGGATGAGTGAAGGACTCAGGAGTGCCTGGGAGATGGAGCTGGTGTGGAACCAGTGGGAGTCTGCACAAGGATCAGGTCACCTGGGCTGGAGTTCCAGAGGTTGGTTTTATTAATGGCAAAATGAGAGTGTTCTTAGAAAAAACTCCCCTTTTTCAAAGTTTGTGGCACCTGTGCTGCTGAAACAGGTAAAAATGGCTTTGAAAATAGTCAAAGGTGATAATTGTGTGTGTCTCCAAGTGCTTTCTGTGAAGGTTTATGAATCCTGTAGGATTTCTGCACGTAGTAAGTGACTTGTGTCTACCCTGGTGATTTAATTTCACCTCTAATCATAATTATTCTAATTTCTGCTTCCTCAGTCAGCTGGACCTGTAGAGAAAGCAGCGTTCCTGCAGGTCAGACGTGGATATGGTCTCTGCAGGCGCAGAGTCTTGCACATAAACACCCACAACTCAAAAGCAGGAGGCAGAGAATCCCTGAACCTGGATCTCACTCTCTTTGGTTTAACTTTAGGAAAGTAATTTCCTTTGTCTTGTTCATCAAATAATTGTGAAAAGGGAAAAAAACAAAACAAAACCCACCATGTCCCAGCTCAGGGGTGCTACACCCATTTGTGGTTTTTCAAGTGCTGTGAAAATATTGTGAGGAGAGAGCTGTGGAGCAAGAACACAGAACACTCGGGAGCAGAAGGAGGTGGAAACAGGGTCTGTGGCCACTGCTCAGGGATGCAGCAGAGCCCTGGAGGGCTGTACCAGGGAATTGCTGGGTCTCGAGTGCACTTAAGCTGCTTCCAAAGTTGTAGAGCTGATTACAGAGAGAAACAGCAGCAATTTAGGATGGAGAACCCCACAATTATCCCAGAATGACTGGGATCAAATCATGGAGCAAAACCACCATCCAGATTCATCTGAGAAGCTGCTGAGTGATCTTGTGGTGTATAATTTTTTGCTGTTTCTCCCACTCCACATGGGACAAGCTCTCTGCTCCTTCCTCTCAAAGGGAATAACCCTTTGATACCAAACAGTTTTGTTATCTGGGGGAGGGGGAAAGTTCTCTTTCATGGCTAGTCCACCTTCCTGTCTCTACAGCAGGGTCAGTAAGCCCAGCTCGGTGTCTGGGACCTCTACCTCTAGAGTTATATTCTGGATTGTGTTTGGGCTCTGAGGTCCTTCATCCTTCTCTGTCGATGTTTCTTGCGAAGGATTTTCACATCCAAGGGATAAGGATGAAGGCAGGTCATCCATCCCAAACACCCTCTCGTAGTTCTGAATGAGAAATTCCACAATTTGAGCTTGATACCCAGAGTCAACAAGGCATGACATTGAGACATCGTTCCCTGAGCCTGGCCGGATCAGAGTTGGCCCAAATACTATGCCCAGGTTGTTTGGGGACATCTTGTTCTCTTCGTATTTCTCTGCCACCCTAGGGGAAGGGAAACAGGACCGTTAGGAGTTTCCCAACTCTCAACCCAAATGCCCTCGAGTACACAGATGGAACGCAGCGAACCCCCATTTCTTAGTCAAAAGACTGAAACCCCATATTTTACGGGGAACAAAGCTCTGGTCTGTGCAGGGAAACTCTGGAGAACAATCTCAGGAATTGCCTGGATCTGTCTGGATGGTGCAGCCCTAATGTCTGTCCCTTGTGACCTGCGTTCAGAGCTGGGTGAAAAAGGGTTTGATTCCTCTTATTCCTTCTTCACCTCTTGCTCTGCACTTGATGACGTGTTATCAGTAAGGACCTTTCTGGTCCTTCTTGGTCATTAAGACTTTCTCCTAATTGCTTCAAGATAGTTCTTTCCTTGAATTCATTTTTTTTTTTTAAACCCTCCTCAAGGGTTCTCCCCAGGTCAAGGAAGCCCAGACACTCTTCTCGTAGACATTTGGTGCTGTGCTACCTGCTCTTCTGATCTCAACAGGGATCTCCTGTGGTGGGACCTGATGGTAACCAGGACTCTCCTCACCTGTACAAGTGTGCGATCAGGTGCCTCAGAGTGTTGTAGTTGCTTCCAGGTAATTTACTCAGCAAGTCCTTCATGTTCTGGATGGGATCAGAAGGGGAAACTGTACAGTCCAACTTTTCTTCCGCAGGCTTTTGTAAATCTTTGGCGAGCGCAATGAGATCGTTGTAGAGCTGGGACAGCAGCACCGGTGCCGAAAGCTGCGGGGAGAGGAGAAGAAAAGAGTGTTACTTTGTGCTGCTGGTCTGGCACCGAGGAATGTGATCAGATCCCTCCTTCCCAGCAGGGATTTGGTACCCACTTCCTTCAGGAAATGCTTCAAGACCCCGGTGATATCGTGGGGGGAGTGCTCGGAGAGTTCCACCAGGCTCCGTCCGTTCTCAAACGCCTGGCACAGCTTTTCCACTCGGGCTTTGGATCCGCTTATCCGATAGATCCCCTGCGTGGTTCAGAAGGGGAGAGGTCAGGAGTTTTGGATACAGAAAAGAGAAGACTGAAGTAAGAATGACAACTGACCTGCACCCCCAGGGCACGAGCTTCAATTTCCGAGGTGCATTTCACCACTATGAAGGGAACTTCCTCTGGGAAATCTCGAGGAACTTGCGTGAAGTCAATGCCAAAAAGAGACACCCTGTTGGGCAACTTCTTGTGGCCACAGGTGATGAGCAGGTTCTCGAGACACTTCTTGTGGCAGGCCAAGCAGCACTGAAACAGCATAAAGGTCCCAAATTATGGTCCAAAGTGGTTGAATTTGAAGGATTTCTCCTGTTTCCCTCAACCACCAAAGTCCCACCAGCCCTGAGAAGAAGGGTTGTTTCAGGCACGTGGCAGCTGACCACCAAAGTCCCACCAGCCCTGAGAAGAAGGGGTTGTTTCAGGCACGTGGCAGCTGGTGGCTTACTCAAGGATGGAAGAACACAAAGAGGAAGAAAAAGCACAAGAGCTTTCCAGAGGAGCTCCTCATTCCTGCAGATCTTCAGCGAGACAACGCTCAACCCCAGATTTTCATGCAATGACATCTTCTAGTCCTCACCTCCTCGCACTCGAAGCCGCTGACCATGAAGGTATCACACTCCCTGCACTTGGATGGTCCTCGTAGTTTCCGGAGCCGGTGTGTCTGCGCGGCGCTGGAGAGGAGGATGTTCTTAAACTGCTGCTGGGATGTCCCATTTTCTGTAGAAACAGCGTGAAAAGGGTGAAGAGGAACCATCCATCAAGCACGGTTTCTACCTCCTGGGTGAAATACCAGCGTGGCTCACCGTTCTCAAAAGCCTGCAAGGAATCTCTCTCTTCAAAATCATCTGAGGAGGACATGGTGCCAGTGGATGGAGCCTTCAACAACTTCCTATTTGAATTTCCTTGAGAAGACAGAAAATAGAAACAATTGTTCTCATCCTTCTGATGCACAAAGTGGGTCAGTGTGGACTTTACTCCTGTTTTTTTTGGGGTAATATTAAGCAAGAATTTTTGCATCTCTCACCTGGGCTGGAATTGGGAGAGTCCAGGGAGCGGGATTCACAGCTCCCACTGAGGCTTTCCGTGTCGCTGCAGAGGGATTTGTTTGTACCTGCAGAAGATGGATTCAGTGATGGGTCATCCCGAGGTTGAAATCCAAACCAAGCTCCCCAAAGAAATCCAGAAATCCTTGGCAATGTTTTCTCCCAATCTGAGCCCTAAGAATTTGAGAACTTCTCCCAACTTTCTTGGCTACTAATCTAAATTAAACTACAATGACTCGAGAGAAAATTGAGTCACCTTTATGAAATTCTTTATCAAATTCTTTATCAAATTCTTTATCAAATTCTTTATCAAATTCTTTATCAAATTCTTTATCAAATTCTTTATCAAATTCTTTATCAAATTCTTTATCAAATTCTTTATCAAATTCTTTATCAAATTCTTTATCAAATTCTTTATCAAATTCTTTATCAAATTCTTTATCAAATTCTTGATCAAATTCTTGATCAAATTCTTGATCAAATTCTTGATCAAATTCTTGATCAAATTCTTGATCAAATTCCACCTACTCTCTGTGGAGAGCTGCTTTCTGGAGGTATCTTGTGGCGTGCTCGTGTCTTTTGCTGTGGAAGAGGCTGTGGTGTAGTGCAATGCCACCTTCTTTTTGTTGCTGGGAGGGGACCTGAGAAGGAATTGCAAACAACGTTGTTATCCCTGAAGAATAACGGAGGATGTTGTATCACGGGGATGATTTATGGATCCCTGGGAGAAAGAATCTGATTCAGGCAGTTTATGGGTATAAACTGAATTTTCAAGGAGATTATAAAAATAAAAACCTGCATGAAAATAAGAAAACAAATGTCTTCAATATAATTTCACCTTTTCTATCCACAGGAAAAGTGTAGAAATCGGAGGGCAGCAGCGTGGGGAGAAGAGGGACCCGAATCTTTGGCAAATGGTGGAAATAACTGAAGGGATGTGGGATAAAAGTGCTGATTTCCTTTTGCTGCTGCTGTTCCTGTGCTCAGCAGAAAGGACCAAGTGCATCTTTAGAGATCTCTTCTTCATTAGCAGGATTTATAATTGGATAGAGCTTTTAACCATTTTTTTTCTTCGGTGCACTACATATTTCTGACCTTTCAGCTAAAATATAAGTTTTCCACTTTTAATTTATTTTAAATGTATGTATTTTTTTTTTACCTCTGCCCCCTGGAAGCGTGTGGCTCAAATTCAAACACTTCCAGATGAATCTCTTTCTTCTGCAGAGCCTGAATGAATTCCAGGTATTTCTCACCCGCTTTGTATGGTTTGCAGATCTCAGACAGGTACTGGTACCCCACTGGAATCTCTTCTGATTGAATTTGCCGCTGTTTAAACATCCTTAAAGTGACCTTATAGGGA